AGATAGGATTTGGTTGATCGGCACAGCAGCGCAGAACGCTCACACGTTTATCCAGCCGGCAATCTCGGCGTGGTATTACGTTTAAATTAATAATCCCCGTTGCGTCGCGTGATTGCCGTCACTCGGAAACGCGTCCGTTACACGCGTGTTATTACGGGCAGCGTGCAATTTCAATAATAATTATAATCACGCGCATGGTTGCGCGAGACGAATAAATGAGAAAAAGAAGCGAGAGAAGAAAGAAATATACGACTGGGCAAAAAGAAACTTCTCCACCCTTTCTACTCTTCTCCTCGCGCTCGTCGTACCGGAGACTTTAATGCCAGCCTCCGGAGTTAAAAACCTGCTGAAATTCTTATTTCCTACAATTATATTTCATATATCATTACTTTTACGAGGTTACGCCAGGTATGCACCCCGCTCCAGACACTTCAAATCACCGCTTTGATTTACGCTCGCGGATTTTTCCTTCCGGAGAAATGGGTCAAACTAATTGTCAGCGTTGAGCGGATACACTCAACCCTTTCGTGGGTATTAGAAGTCTTGCTGAATGTGAAATAAATCTAAACAATCGTTGAGAAATTATTCAATGGGTATTTCCAATTGGAGACGTTATTTTTGGATGATTTTTAGGATAAGAAGGTGTTCGATAATTGTAAATTAAGGGACTTGAAATTTTTCTTGTAGAGGTTTGGAGTACTTTTCCAGGAAGACACGGTGTAATTTTCTGAATTATTTGGTTTATTGAAATTAAGCCAAATTAAATATTTGACAACCTAGTTAATTTGAAATAATTCGACTTTGTTTATTGCCTCCATCTTCAATTTTAGCGATTTAAAGAAATTTATTTTAAATTAGAATTTTTTTTATCATTATTTTAGCTATTCAAAAATAAAAGTGACTAACTCCATCGAATTAACTTTATGAAATTTTTTTCATTTATGAAAAATGTGCAGACATTTATCAGTAGACTTAACAATTTTTTCATTGCATTGCAAAGTGAATTTTAAGTGGATAAGTTTAAAATCAACGAACCTCTATCAATGCCTAATTTTCAAAGAGTGAAGAATTAATAATTATTTTCTTAAACGGAAGAGTACGTAGGCTCTAGAAAATCTCTCCACAAATATTCGTTAACGTCCTCACCCCAGCAGTATTTACAACCCTCTAAGAACACGCTGGAATGTTCGAAACTCCGAGCCCCATGAATCTAAACCTCTGTAACTTTCGAACTCTGGAGCATCCAGAATTCTCAGCTTACAAGCTCGTAATCTCCACGAATTTAACGCGGTTTACAAAATTTACATCGCCGCTAAAACGCTTATAGGAAAGTTTCCTCTGCACTTGCTTTACATCAACCACGTCTTAATTCTCAACTTTCAGACCGTGTATCTCTGCTGTCTCTGTAACTTTCTCGTAAACATTTTACACGAATAAATTTTAAACATAAATATAAAGTACGATAAATTAAAAGAAAAATGTACTTTCACTTTTCAAGTAAATAGGTACACTGCTTCGTAGATCTTTTTCCACGGTTAACATTCGGATATATTTCTACTTGAGAGATAAAATTGTGCGTTACATAATACATAAAACGTACCGAATGTATAATATATAATGTTTAAGTTGTATGATTTAGTATACCGCATTCTCATGTTTTATTCTCGCCAAGTATTTCCTCGTAAAATTTCTCGAATACAGCTATATTATTATAGCTGATACAGTGAGTCGTAATATACTGCCGCTGCAATATATACAGCACCTTTTAAGAAACTACGATTTCCACAAACAGGTTTGACAAGACAATTTCACGTTCTGAATTAGAACCCATAACAACGCCATTATTTTCCACCAAATGACTTTCCAGCCTAATAACATCTCATTATCGTAAATTTTTACGTTACTACTTCATCTAACGCTAATAATATCGAGTACCGATTGAACCCTTAAAATTAAATACATCATCGAATATCCATTCGACCCTTTGCATTTTCTGAATTTAGCTGTGTCACACTTATGCGTTTTACTTATTTACTCTAATTACAGTAATTACAGTTCTTGTGTAATTTGCGAATCGAATTCCTAGAATTCCTTAAAGACGACCAAATAGATATTGCTGAATACATGAATAATTTGTATTTGATGTGTTTTGTCCTGGAATTTTTTAAATAAAGGCGCACATAACAGTTTCACTTCACGTCGTAATTGTACACTAACAACAATCCAAAAGCTTCATAATACAACCTACACACAACTGCAAAGAATGCAATCAGGTGTCATACAACACCGACGAATTCACCATTTTCTCTCAGTTTTAAAACGTCAAACAAGCGTTATCGGACGCGAGACATTCAATATCCCAACGAAAACTCCGTAGTGGGTCAAACGAACAAAGGAAACGGTTGAAATTCAAGGAAAACGGAAAGGAAATCTACCTGATATTGCATCGCTGATGGAGGAACTTGAGAAGGTAGCGTAAATCCTTCTATCGTTCAACCACGACGACAAAGCAACTTTCAAGCTCCCGAATAAGCTACAGGATCGCTCACAAAGTTGCTCTATGCGAAATGGTCAGAAAAACCCGAGCCCGGCGCTATATACCAGCAGTAGGCCACTCCCACTCGAGTCACCGCCCACTTAAGCCACGCCCACTCGAGCCACGCCCACTTGGACCACTATCCCGTGGTGGGAAGCTATGTATGAATGCCATAGTGTTTGCTCGGCCTGTAAAAACGCCTGAAACGTCTCATGAGCGTACAAACCCATACTTATCTACGAGCATACACTCCCACCACTTCGTTCATAACTGTGACGTCACTTGCACCGCCCACTGCTCAAGGCTCTGCCCGGGGCAAAAAAGAGCGTCCTTGTCCCCAAAACGGTTGCCTGAACGGGCCTGTATCTACTGAACTCTACTTCGACGTATCTTGCCGTGAAATCAGTCGATTGGAACACCTCTCGTTCGTCTTCCCGTGGAGTCGAAACGACCATTCGTCGCAGACAAGTTCACGGAGAATTCGTCAGACTGCCTGGGAGCCGGAATTCACCGGAAGGTGAGAAACTCCCGCAAGAAAGAACGATTTAAATTGATGAGAAAGAGTTCTGGCGAAGGTCGATTGTTCCTGGAGCGCTCGTGCGAACTTGATTTTCCGCCTGACAGCGCTGACACGCGGACAAGAGGAAAAATAAAAGGACTTTTCGGTCCTGGAAGGAGAAAGGTTCCGCGAACGATAGAATGATAAATGGTGGACATGACATTTGATATAAATCTTAAATTCTGGGTGAGACTATAAAGTGAAGAATTGTTTAAATACTGTTTGTGTAGCTAGTAATTTATTGATACATATTTAATAAATAGGTATTATTTCTTTAGATAAAACATCTGCTATTTAGGAGAAAAGGTATATCGACTGTTGAAACAGTAGAATACTGTAAAAAAACGAGTTCTCTGGTGTAGATAATGTAGAAACCTGCCGTGTTACCACAAGTTACCATCTAACGGTACTCAATAATTTAGAAAAAAAAATGCAACAGTATGTCCAAAAATTACTTAATTCTTCACATGAACAAATTCAACAATCAAACCACTATTTTACCCAAATAACATCGAACAACTGATTCCCATAAGAAAAAAAAAACGGACCCAACAGGAATCTTCTTTATCACACCATAGATAATCATTCACCAATCAGATTACCATGAACTGGTATCACAGTGCTACACTTCCAAATTCGACAAATTCCTTTTTTCAAGCCGGTCGAAATCAAACATGCCATTCGAGAACCATATACAAACGTCCAACAATTTCAAAGCTTCGGCAACTTTACTTTACAATTCACAGAACACCCCCAACGGTGCGCGGCAATTACCCAACCATTAAGAATTTAACACGAGCGTACAGTACACGAGTGGGTGGAAAGGCATCTTTGTCGGCGGGGTCTTTCAACGAGAGAGGTCTTTCGCCCTCGGGGAATTGCACCTGTCGAACAATGTCCGCTCGTTACGAGCACAGGTCGCGGGTGTTTGTCAGCAACAGCAACGACCGCTCGAGACAAAGAGCAATTAATACCGGGTGGTCCGATTCTCTGACGACGGTATTGGCCATGAGAGGATAAAGCATCGATGTTGGTGAGCGGAGCTGCGCGCGATTTGCCAGCCGACAAAAACGTGAACGCTTCCGTGTTCTCGTTATGCACCGCGGGACGCGACAGCGGGTTCATTTAGACCGGGGCCATTAGGAGCGCGCGGGCAAGATCCGCGCCCGTGAGCCCGTCAGCCGACCGCATTGTGCGCTGAATAATAAAGCGCGCGATATCGAACCGCGGAGTTTCGATGCTTTTGTGAGAAATTTCGCGGCGAATGGAGCGATTCTAACGTTGAAAGCATTGTTTTCGGAAGTTTGCCTTTTTTTTCTTTCTTTTCGAGGATTTTAATTGTTCTTCGAGGAGCTGTGCCTAGATGGAGAGTCGAAAGACAGGATAGTAGATTGGGGGATGTTTTTCTTTTTTTGTCATTAGTGAGAAGTGACAAGGAGATGTCGAGAATTTTGAAATCTCGATCGGGGTGACTTTTACGTGCATTCGATCCCGTCAAGTTTTTAAACTTTCAAATTCCTCAAAGTATCTTTGAAATCTCGGTTGAGTTGGCTTTTAAAAATTCTTAAATTTGCGAATTTCTGGAATTATTTAAATTTGCAAATTTCTCAACTCATCTGAATTTCCAACTCTTCAAATTCTTAAATTTTCAAATGCCCCAAATAATCTCTGAAATCTCGACAGAGAGTCGGCTTTCAAAAATTCTCAAGTTTCTCAAATCATAAAAATTTAGAAACTCCTCGAATCGTCTAAATTTTCAACTTCGCCCCGCCACAAAATTCCCACAAAACGACGTAAAACTCGAGCCAGTCGCGTTTCACGGAAACCACTTGGCCGCGTCGAGCAAAGGAACGCGTGTTCGCGTTCAAACAAGATTAATTTTCAACGTGTGTGTCAAACTCTCACCTATCGGAGACGCGGTGTTGGCTTCCCGCAGGCTGACAGTTTCCGGTTCAACCGCCGCTTCATCTTCCTCGATCAATGGTGGCGGTGGTGCTAAGGGTCGCGATTCGTAACCCCAATGCTGTCGAAAAGCACGTGCGCCGCCGTCCAATCGAACACGTGGCAGCTCGACGAACATCGCATCCCCCAACTGAAAAGAAAATTCGTTGGAACCTTTCAATGCCAACATTTCTTCCCAACAGAAAATTCACAGATGTACAAGGAAACGACGAGGGCAAAAAGAGAAAATATAATCACATTACTATCACACAATTACGTGCAGTTTCCATTCTCATCCAGCACACACGGTGTCCATCAATTTTCACGAAAATCACACATCACTATTATTGAAGCATTGCCAATTATTCGAGGTGATCTATCATTTCAGCCATTGTTCCTACTAATGAACAATGTTATAACCTGAAATTTCGTTTTGAACAAAACTCGTTCATATTCTACTTTCCAACTGACGTAACGTATACATTTTCGTCGTTTAAATGGCAAAGTTACGAAAATGCAAAAATTGCAATTTTTCGGGAGAGAGAAAAATCACTGCCAATTAAAGAGGGTTTCGCTTGAAAAAAGACGAATTTTGCCATTTCTGGTATTGCATTTCAGATTAGGATTCCAAAGTAAATTTTTTAATTTCTAAGTAGATAGTTGGCAAAAGTGTGTCGAACATTATGAAAATTATTTTAAAGAAAAATTTGTAATTTTCCATGGGAATTTTCAAGATGACCCAATAAAGTCACCTTTGCATTAATTTTATCCACTATCTATGCAACACAGCACTATACACTTAGGCAATTTTATCACATTACACGTTGATGAGAGATAATAATAAAGTAGTGTATTTAGCTGAAATTCGGAAAAATTGCAATTTCCTAATTTTACCATTCGAACGATTACAATCTACGATCACTCTAACCCGCTAAATCTTCTAGAAAGCTTGTCAGAAGTGTTCGGACATGGCAATAGCTGGGCACAATTGGCAACGCGTTAATTCACTCATTGCCCGGGACACTCACGTAACCCCGAATCACGTCCATTTCGGTGGAGTAGATTGACGAGACGTCCGCGTCTAATTGTTCCTATCAATGTCACGGCTGATGTCATCGAACGAGGAGAAGAGACAGAGCGTTACTACCGGTGGTCCTCCGCGAGTGATAGAAAGAAACGGACTCTTTTCGCGGGTAAAAAAGAGAGGGTGCAGCCACTTCGAGTCTCGCAAGAAGCTGGACAACGACTGGACCGTGTCCAGTTTATCTTAAAATACTGTAGATTGACCTGACGACATGCTGACGTCACTAATTAGAGCTCGTTGAACGCGGTGTGCAACGCGTGAAATCCAGAGTGAGATCGTTTCTCCGTGGCCCGGCCCTCGTTCGTTCCTCACTCGAAACTGTTAACCCCTTTGCGTTTTACGGACGAGATATCTCGCGGCGCGGTGACGTTCGCGGTTTCGGACGGAGTATCTTGTGTGAAGAGTGAATGACACTGCTTTGAGAGATATTTCGTCGAATGTGTCGCGAGATATTTCGTTAATAGAGTTGCGAGTTATCTCGTCCGAAGCGTCGCGAGAGTTATCGTCGGAAGTGTCGAAAACGTCGCGAGATATCTCGTCCGAAGCGTCGCCAGAGTTTTTGTCGAAAGTGTCGAAAAGGTCGCGAGATATTACGTCCAAAGCGTCGTAAGATTTTTCGTCGGAAGTGTCGAAAACGTCGCGAGATATCTCGTCCGAAACGTCGCGAGAATTTTTATCGAAAGTGTCGAAAACGTCGCGGGATACTACGTCTAAAGCGTCGCGAGATATTTCGTCCGAAGCGTCGCGAGATATCTCGTCCGAAGCGTCGCGAGATATCTCGTCCGAAGCGTCGGCAGAGTTTTTGTCGAAAGTGTCGAAAAGGTCGCGAGATATTACGTCCAAAGCGTCGTAAGATTTTTCATCCAAAGCGTCGCGAGATATTACGTCCAAAGCGTCGTAAGATTTTTCATCCAAAGCGTCGCGAGATATCTCGTCCGAAGCGTCGCGAGATTTTTCGTCGGAAACGTCGCGAGATATTACGTCCAAAGCGTGACGAGATATCTCGTCGCCGAACGACACCACGAGATATCTCGTCCACAAATGCGAACGGGTTAATAGAGAGATGAAACGAATAAATATCGTTAAACGAGAGACAGACAGAGACGAGAGATTGTACGAATGGTAAATTATTAATTTCGATTTGTTTCGCACGCTTGACTACCCGCATCGTTTTGCTATTATTTGCCAATTATCGCCCTCTAACGAATATTCCAGCCCGCACATTCGACGAAATGAATGTTTCGCGACGATTAGAGTGTTTGGGATCGAGCGAAATGCTGTTTGACTTGGCAATGAGCGTGCGCGGTCTGGATATGGTTTCGGGGATTTTTCTGCAATTCAGTACACGGGGGGACAAGGGGTAGATTGATGAAAATTGCAGCTGTTTGGCGAAAGTACGGGGTGGTCTGGCGGTTAGTGGTTTCGCGGTTCGGTGTAAATGTGAGGTAATGTATTGTAGCGTGGTAAACAGCGTCATGTTAGTTTGCAGATTTTATTCCGTTCGGCTAGTAGCCTTTAGAAGCGTCCGTGAAGAAGAAAAGTGTAAACGAACCTACATATATAAGTATGTTACGATTTCAGTATTTCATTCAATGTTACTTAGAATACAAAATTCGATTTAAAAAGAAAAAGAAAGAAACCTGGACTAGTATCGTAAAACTTTGTTAGTAAAAACTTATTCCAAATTAAAATGGTCCCTTTAATCCTCGAAGTGCTGGGTCAAATATGACCCAATATCAAAAGTTTCTCATATTCAAACGAAACCACGATTTTTTATTTTACCGGGCACTATATTGCTCAAAATTGTACAAAGTAACGAACATTTATAATGTAAGGAGAGAAGATTCGTGGCTCTGTTTCCACATTTAATAGCTGGGTCAAAGGTGACCCAGCCATCCGAAGATTAGCCTCTAACTAAAACGTCTTTATTTTTGCTGTTATAGTCTGCGTCACAATATAGAGTGGTCGTAAAAATGATCAGGAGCCAAAGTAAATATGTTTCGAGTGGCAAAATAACCAAATTGACAGAAATAAGGGTGCTCCATGATTTTTAGCATAAAACAAACTTATCAGAAATATTAATTATTAAATATCTCAAAATATTAAGTATCTCAAAATATCGAATATTAAATACCTCAAAGTAAAGAAAAATGAAACTACACCACGTTAAAAATAGAAAAAAGCAAAGAAAAGCAGGTTAATTATTGTCACCGCGTAAAGGCTACATGTCGCGAGCACTCTTAACCCTTCAACCGAATAATTCCACAGCGAAACCGTTAAAGAACAAGAAGCACGCGTCAGCGATCGATCGCGGTCGAACGAGCGTTAACTGTAATTACCAGGCGGGTGCGAACGAGCCAATGAACGCGTTCAATTACACGATCCCGTATTGGTCGCGCGGAGCATTGACGTGCAACAATCTGCTGCACCGCCAATTAGTATTTGCATTCTTCTCCGACGATGATTTCTGGCCCGGCAGAGAATACGCGACCCCGTTTTCCCTCGAGCTGCTCCATTAGAGCAATTGCGCTCGACACTAATTCCACACACTTTGCTCTCGTGCCCGCTTTCCCTCGTTTCACGTCTCCGCAAATGTTCCACCATCTTTTCGCGATTCAGCTACCCGCGAAAATTTCCGCGAAATTTCCGCTCATTGTCGATGAAATCCCGCCTCTCTGATTGCCCTATTGTGATCCGGAGAAACGTCCACCATCGTCGGTTCTCTTCGATCTCCGACACGTTTCGTCGAATAATTTCTACGAAATCGACGATTTTAGGAAAATTAAGCTTCCTCGGTTTAGAAAGTATTTCAGGTAATGAAAAATTTATCTAAAGAAGGATTGATTCAAAGGAAAACTGGTCCAAAGGAAAATTGATCCAAAGGAAGATCGATGCACAGAAAGATCGATCCAAAGAAAAATTGATCCAAGGGAAGATTGATCCAAAGAAAAAATTGATCCAAAGGACGATTGATCCAAAGCAAAATTGATACAAAGGAAGATTGGCCCAGAGCAAAATTGATCCAAAGGAAGATTGGTCCAGAGCAAAATTGATCCAAAGGAAAATTGACCTAAAGAAAAAATTGATCCAAAGGAAGAGTGATCCAAAGGAAAATTGATTCAAAGGAAAATTGATCTATAGGAAGATTGATCCAAAGGGACATCGATCCAAAGCAAAAATTGATCCAAAGGAAGAGTGATCCAGAGGAAGGTTGATCTAAAGCAAAACTGATCCAAAGGGACATCGATCCAAAGGAAGAGTGATCCAGAGAAAGATAGATCCAAAGCAAAATTGATCCAAAGGAAGATTGGTCCAAAGCAAAATTGATCAAAAGGATCCAAAGAATCAATCACTCTTAATGAACCAAAAATGTATTTGGGTCCAAACTGACCCAGGCATAGGCGCCGTCTGATTCCAACCGTTAAAGGGGTAATACGGGAACTTCGACTCAGTATTTCACTTTGAAAGCTTCCAAGTTCGTAATAAAACACAAACCTGAAGTAACGGCTTCTCCAACTTTCCAACAGCAGCAAACCTAACGCACAAATATCCCGCGATAAATACCAACAGAGTCGAAAAAATTGAGAACGAAAGAGAACGAAATTGTCGCACAAATAGCGTGTAAAATGGCAGAAGCAAGCGCGACGAACTACGTGCATGGGAAGCAAACAATATCTCAACGTGGACGAGCCTTATGAGCGAGGACACGGCGAGCGCAAGAAGAGCTTCGAGGTGCACGAAGAACAACGAGAACTGTCGTGGACAAAATTGTATTACGTGGAAACGCGCGGCTCAAAAGGACGAACATTGGCCAGTCGTCTCGACAAATTCGTACCGGCAACGTCCGTGAACAGACAACAGGAGGGACAAGTGGCGGCCTCCTCTTTCTTGCTAATTCGATCTTTCTGATTTCACCCTTCCACCTTCGTTTCGCGTCCCCTTTCGTTTCCGTCACATCGCGACTCGGAGGAAACAATTAGTCACGACCCTTTGAACTGTGAATTCGCTGATTTCGAAGACAGTCGCTGAGTTTTTCGAGGGAGAGACGAGAGGAAGGGTTGGAAGATTCCAAGATCTTTTGAAGATTTGTGCTGTTGACGCTTTTTGAGATGGATTTTAGGTGATTTAGAATAATTGCGTTATTGTTTCGATGAGGATATTTTTTAATCGAGATGATTGTATGTGGGTTGTTTGCTGTGAAAGTGGAGTATGTCGATTTTTGGAACAAATTGAGAAAATTAATTTAATGCAATTTATTTTCAAATATTCGTATGCTTTGATCAATTGAGAATTCGTTTGTAAACGACATTGGATGACCATTTATTACGAAAACGGTAAAAGTCCATTTTCAGTAGTTTAATTAAAAAAAATATGAAAATGATGCAGTTATTGCCTTACGTAGCTTCTGTGCATCACATTCACATAACGATCCAAAAGGACAAGCACTAAGTAAATAAGTAAATAAATATTAAGATGAAACATGTTTAATAATACAGTAAAATCCTGAAAAAATCTCAGCAGGTAAGCACTAAACGGTAGCGGAGTAAACGTGTAACATTTTCTACTTGCTTGTACTACTTTGATGATGTGTAACATTGAATTGCTCTAAGCTCACTAACAAGCCTAAACTTCAACGTGAAAATATCACAGCAGGGAAATGTGCAAGTTATACAAACATATGAGGACAACAAACACGACGAGACATAAAGTGACGAAACGTGAGCATATTAGAGTGACACACACACAACACTTTGAAGACGAACACACATGATAAAGAACAAACCTTGTTGTGAGACTTGAACATACAGGCGGTCCCGGCGAACAGCTGCGTCCAAGGAAACATACAAATTAGTTACCAATCGTGCCTGCTTAATTACGTGTTTAGGCAGATATCCAAAGAGATTCGGAGATCTCTTTGGATTCGGCGCTTTCCTTAGCTAACGAGGGAAGTTGTTAATTTTTTTTAAATAGTAAATTTAAATTAAAATCGTTCGAGAAGTCATTTAAATCGTATAATTTAGGTCACCATAACAGGCCACCCACACATCATACATTTACTACGAATAGTAAGAAAATCCAACGTATTCGAATGTCCAATTCATATTTCAGAAGGGTTGAAACACAAACATAGTCTATATCGGCCGAATAGAGAAGTTCACATTGATATTGTCTATTCGAAAAATTCGTTCAACTCGCACGATATTAATTTTAAATTAATTGTGCATATCTCTTCATTCAAGAACTCTCCTAACGCCACGAAATCTCTCGAAACTTCAAAGAAAACTCCTAATTTTCATAAAATTCTAATTCTCCTAAATTTCCCTCTTTCCTAATTTCCTAATTCACCTAAATTCTAATTTCCCAATTTGTAATTTCCCAATTTGTAATTTCCCAATTTGTAATTTCCCAATTTGTAATTTCCCAATTTGTAATTTCCCAATTTGTAATTTCCCAATTTGTAATTTCCCTAACTCTCCCAAAATTCCCAAATTTTCAAATACCCCAAAACCCAGCTCCACCGTCGAGATCAAACCCATCACAAAAAAATCTCCATCGTACATTCATCAATTCCATCCCACACGAACAAAGAAAACTACAAAAATTCAATCTACTCTCTCTTTTGTCTGAAAAACTTGCCTCGAACTCCAATTCATCGACCGTGAAAAACAGTTCCGCTCTTTTTGTCCACCGGCCTATTGGATCTCGCGTGTCAGAGGTTCTCCAGCGGAACGGGCATGATCGACAACGAGCCCGTACCTCGTTACAATGTGCACGTACACGTGGTATCGCGCGGGGATGGGAACTATAATTAATTGGCCGCTGACGAGGATAACTAATGTCCGGAGACGAGGGCGAAATTAATCGAGTGGTATTCGAAGCGGTATTACGATCGTCATTATTACCGGGTATACGTTTCGCGGTGTCGTAATCCGACCGATTCCGATGCGTCCCGTGCCCGCTTATAATCGTAATTAATAAATCGACCAGCTTCGACGCGACACGACGCGGCGACACCACGGTTCTCTCGAATCGATACGCGGCGGTGGTTAAACCGCGCGCGGATTCAGAGGTTCCCCGTGTGAAACGACTTACAGGAGATCGAGACCAGGTCTGGTTCGACGTTTCCCGTTTTTGCCATCGCGATTACGCGATTGGAATAAACGAGAAAACCAGAGGAAGATTTTATACTGCGATTATCTGGAACCATGTTCCATTAGCTCGGGTAATTTAACCCTTTCGCTGTCAAGTATGTACAGGACGGGTTTGGATCTAAGATTGTCCCGAGTTTATGATAAGATAGGAATCTGCTATTTTTGAGAAATTTAGTGTTTTAATTTCTTTGCGTGTGTTTAACTCTACGACCCTTTCGTTACTATTGGCGCCTATAGACGTTAGGTATGGAGCCTTTTGACGAATTTTGTCCTTTACGCACTTCCACCTTAATTTAACGAATCGAATTTTAAAACGGTACGCAGATCATTCTGAACGCTAAAACTGCATTCGATCTTTCCTAAATAAATATTAAAGTTCGTGAGAAAACTCACCGAATTAATCTACACACCTAATACCCGAAGCACTGAAAAGATTCTCTTAACGATCGTAAACCACGTAAAGATTAAATCAGCTACGATCATAATGGGTGTCCTAATACCTGCAAACAGCAGTGCACATAATGCAACTTTCACTCTAAGATTACCTTAAACACACTCACGAAGCGAAAGGTTCGCTGAAATCCAAAACGGGTATTACCCAGAAGAAAAAAAGGTACACCTAACGTAACAGAACCATCAAAGCTGTAAAAAGAAAATGTACAATTTTATCGGCGAAAAACCAGAATCGGTACGGAGTCAAGATCGAGAAAGCAACTTTTCTCATCGAACCGGAGGAACAGGACAAACACGTGATCCCCGATCGAACTAGTATCGAACACGTCAATCATAAACTTTCTTTCCAGAAGAGCGAGGGGCGCTCTCCTAGAGACATTTTACGCCGGGTTTATTGCCCGTTTGCAATAAGATTTCCTCCTCGCGATTCCGACCTTTGTGAACGCGTCTGTTCGAGAGAGTCCACGAGACGCTGCTGCTGCTGCCTGCCTGCTACCTAATTCGATCCACACGATCGACTCGTTCCGATCCGATTACGTTCGTGAGTACACGTACGATCTTCCGTCGATAATCGATCTGTCAGTAACGGCTAGAATCGATTCGCGTCCCGGAAGTCTGTCGATGATAATGGAGCACGTACACGCCGTCTTTTCCACGCGCGCCCGCTACCCTTCCTCATTCCTGTATCGTTGCCTTCGTCGTTTCACCGGCGGAATCGAGAAAGTTTCGCTTGCCACGAAACAGAAAAGAAAAAAGAAAGAAGAAGAAGAAGAAGAAAAAACCCGACGTCAATGAAACGCGGACGCTTTTGAAGGCTCCTTTTAAGGCTCTTTTATGATTGATACCGTTCCGGACATTATACAATTTTCCCTGAATAGCTAGCTCTGGCTACCTGAAAGGTAATACAGGCCGGTGCAAAAGTCGCTTTCTGCTTTTTCTATTATTGCGTCGTGCGGAAAGTTTTTTCGTGAAATTAAATATTTCTGATTGAAATAATTTGTATAATTTTGTCAATGTGTTAGACTAGCGTTCACTTCGCGAGGATATAAATTGGAGTTTGTGAGAGAAAGGGAGACGCGGATGAAGCTTCGCGGTGCAAACTTCGTTTACGTTCGAAAAAAATCGTGATCGTTGTTTAGTGATCTGTTATACTTTGGATTATATTTAATACTGTTTCTTAAAAATGGGTACCACTATCACTATAGAGTCATAACAGCGAATTGGATGTCCGTTACCATTAGCAACTTCGTTAACCATTCCCTTCGTACTTCGTATTTCTGCCATAACTCTTTAACGAAGCTTCAAACGACCTATGTTCATACAACATTTCCTTCTTACCTATACCCATAGAACATACTGGCGAAGTTTGACAAATTTTGATCGGAAAAAACTGGGACACCCGGTATGCATAAATTACAAGTTTTCGACAGATTTCTCTCTAGTTTTCTGATAAAAACGTGTATGAACTTTTGAATAACTATGTATTAAACTTAAAATATTCTAACGCAAGTTGTAGAAAACAAGCCCAGAATCTATTCGTTACTAAAAAGATTATTAATAACACATTTTCAGATTATCTATAGCTTTGCAAACAATTTTGCCTGACGAGAAGAAATTCTTTGTTCAACGCTAAATTTAATAATTAATACCAAATGATATACCTATTCCAACGTAACTTTATAACAAAAGCTCGAAACTGCATAATGATGAATTCGCAACACAGTTGCAAGACATTTACATCGAGCTCTTAGCAGGACAAATTTACGAACTTTTTCGAGCAACACAAGTCGTTTCATCGCTTACTTGCAAGTGTAACTTTAAGTCGCATACACACTTGTAATAACGCGTTGTCGGCTGAGCTCGTTCGACAACTTTGACGCGACAGTTTGCATAGAAATCTGCAATCTCGTTGCACGATATCAAAGCACGACACGGATGTTACGTATATCGCTTCGACATGATCTACAGAATGCCGGTTTTTTTTCTGCAAAAAACATCAAAGGGCGCTCAATGAAATTGCGCGCTATATGGATGTATCCTCTGCAAATCGATACGAGCACTATCCAGGGAAGTTTACGTTTGTCTGGAAGAGCTTATGGAAAACCACGAAGAAATCGGGAAAATGTTGTAAATACGCGTATCGAAGAATCGATCGAATGCAACTGTGAATTTGTCGAGTTTCACGTTTCCCTGGCGTTTCGTGAAAAAGTTTGTTGGAAACTCGCTGTAATATACTTGCAAACGCATTACGAGAGCATTCATTCCACGTACACAAAAATCCACATCTTTAAGACTTAACCTTTTAATATTTAAAAAATTGTTTGCACATATTTCAATTTTGGAAACATCTATCCACGTAAGAATGTCCAAAAAATGGGAATTCAGGGCGATTTTACGATACTTTCATATAAACATAAAAAATTGTCAAAGGAGAATTTAGAAATGAGTAGATACTCAATTGCCTATCCATTCCAGCCGAAAACAAATTTTTCCAGAGATAAATCAGAAAAAGCTTTTGCACCCTGTGTTACCTTCGCAATTTATTTATTCAGCCTCACAGCCATCAATTTCACTTGGTTTACAATAACCCACGTTTCATAAAACTATCTTATTCTCTCTCTCTCTCTCTCTCTCTCTTCCATTCATATTCCCCCGTACTCTACTAACTTATCGCCCTACTTATTACCCATTAATTGTTACCCCTCCCTTATACTTTAATATTCTCTTTGCTGTTCTCAGCCACTCTCTCTTTTTTCTTTTCTTTTCTTTTTCAGCTTCTCCATCCTGATATCCCTGCCTAATAATATAATAATAATAACGTATAATAATGTAACAATACCCTGTGTCAGCTGTTCACAGAAAATAGTGACCTAACAATTTTCCAAGCAGAACTCCAAAGAAACTTTCCCCGTCGAATAAAAAACTCCAGGAGAAATGAAGAGAGTATCCAGAAAAGTATCCATAATTAAATCAGCCGTGATAAATAACCGAAAAACTTTTTACACGTGTATTTCGAAGAAGTTCCATTCGAAGTTCCCTGATTTATTAGGAGTTATACATCAAAAGGTAATTTCTTGTTTCTCGAAGAGTGAATCACGGCATTGCTCGCTCCCTGTTCCGTCACGAGCACCGCAGAAAGATTTATTATCGTGCTTCGTATACGCGAGTGAGCCAACCTTCGCGTACACTTTTGTTGCGAGAATTCTTTGCGGAAAGTAGA